TTGCATATAAGAGGGTAGTTTATCGAAATGACAATTCTAAAGTGTTATTTTTTTTATAAAAATAATAAGCATATTCAGCAAGGATATAATTACATTAACATAAAGCCTATCAACCAATCAAAACTAACAAATTTCCCCCATAAAAGAATATTTATATGTAATAAACGTTTTCTTTACTAGTGATAGACCTACTAAAAACATTTTAAGCATTTTAGATTCCAAATAAATAAAAACAGCAAACCAAATTAAAAAAAATTAATTAAAGCAAAAATATGGCCGTTAAATCGGCCAAACCGTTTGAAATATTAAAAATAGTTGAACGGTAAAATAAATGTCATTTGAATGTAGGTCAAGATCGTAAAGAATAGCACTCAAATCCAAAAAAGCAGTTACTAAATTAGGATATTTCTTTAGTAGAGGTGTTATTATTTGTGCAGTTACATAAGAGATACATACCCGTAGCTACGAAGGATTACGAGGTGGCTAAGCCCTCTTTAGCTTAGTCAATAGTGCATATATGAAATATATAATATGATTTCATTTTCATCACAAACTTAGGCTATTGTTATTTATTTTCACGCAGCTAATAGGCCTAGTTTTAATAAAAATATATTAATATCTAACTTTAAAGTATATACATATACATAACAATGTTTTGGTCCACTTGGGACCTTCTTCAGGTTGGTTAAGAATTAAATTTACCATGTAATAAACAAGCAAATCTCAGTCAGTTGTAAAAAGAAAATTTACTAATAATTTTAACAATGTTACACTGAATTCATAAAGTTGAATTTTATTTAAACATAATTTTAAATAATTGTTTCGGTAAAAAGTAAACTAAATCTTAGGAAAATTTTTCTAAAAAGTTAACAAATATGATGTCACTTAACACTTTAAACTACAATAAAAAATAAAAAAACAAGAGTAGGCCTACACTCGTCTTTTTCTATTCGGGAATTGAAATACGAAACATTAGAAACAGAACATGAAAATAAAATGTAATTTTAAAACAAATTTGAGTTAGTAAAAGCATCATTCTATCTCCCTCATAAATCGGATTCATCGGTTTGAATCCAGGTTGAATCCTTGAAATTTTCACAGTAGTTTAACAAGATACATTAGATTTCATCTCTTACCACCCGGCCGTCACTATTACAAGCACGGTTGAGCCCATAATGGATACGAAAGAACAATTTCTTATGGTCCACAAGAGGTAAAGCGAGACTATTTATGCTATTTTATATTTAATTTTTCTTCCCTCAATTCCAGCAATCTAATAATAGTAACTATAAAAGTTTTTGAATGGAGTTTGAGTCGATTTAAAATGTAAATGGAAAAAGGCGTAGATAATTTGAATTTTAGTCTACGATTTTCATATTGATTGCTTCTGATGACAAAGCAAATAGTTTCGTAAACATTTAACATTAATTAAATACGTTGTTTCGAATGGCGTTTTATTGTTATGTTAATATTCTTTATACCTGTTATGCAAGTTCACGATTTTATATTCCACAGTATAGTTTAGAAAACAAGAGAGAATTTCATCACAGGATATTGAAAATGAACCATTAAACAAATAAAAATGACCTTGGAATAAAAGTAAAACAAAGTATAGGTTAAAAAAAGACGCTAATTGCTTTCCTTTCTTAATGACAAAGTTCATTTCTTGTAAAACTAAAAAGCAACAAAAAGAATGCATAAAATTGTAATTTTATTTGTTTTTTAATTCAAAATAAACTCATTTTTAAAAGCTCAGTTTTAAATAGAAAAAGATGGAAGAAAAATGAATAATTAGTATAAGAAGAAATAAAGATAATAAATTATACTAAGATGCACTAATAAGATATATTTCAGTAATAAGCTATATAATTCAATCTAAATAAATTATTTGTAAAAAATGCTAAACCCCTTCTTTGCATTTATATATATATTGTATATATAATCTTGTATTAAATAAATAAAGTATAATTATCTCTCATCAAGATACAGCAAAGAATACTAAATGAGAAAATATAACTAATTTTTTATTGACAAAATTCAATCTGGTATTAATATTAAAAATAGTACCAAGCACTGTTCTATTTATCCTCAGTACTTGTTATTAAAATATGTACAGTTACAATACATATACACAAACAAACACATTGCTAGTGCTACAAATACGCACTATACTTCTATTTATCATTAACTAGTCACATTGGGAGAGTGTTAAAAACAATGGCCTTAGAAACAAAAATATACATTTATTGACCTGAAGTATTTACAATTATAAAACTGCAAAATATAAAAAAAAAATTGCTCTTAAGACAAGAGGGGGTGAGCTTAAGGGGTGTATACCGTACTGTATTTTTTCTAGGATGTCAAAGTATATTTGTGCCAAATTCAGTGCGAATGTGTTGAATGGTATAGAAGTGTCTATCTGACATACATATATATTTTGACTTTTATATATATTTATATATAGAGAGAGAGAGAGAAATAAAAAAGCATAATTTCTTGTTAACTTTAAAACTACATTTGCTTCCTAATTTCCATCCTAAGATCAAGGTTCACTTCTACTTATTTTAACATTCAAGTAATGTGTATCAAATTTCCTTTAATAAAACTATCTTTCATACACTTATTTTTAAGTTTACAAAATTAAAAAAGAAAAATTTCATATTAAAATAATAAGATACATAATTACCAGCAATGCCATTTAATATACGATAAGTCCATAATGTCTTTGGTAATTTCACGTTAATAATTTCTGAAAGTTGAACGTAAAAAAACACATTTCATTTTATTATATTTCTCTCATTGAATAAGTAAACCTTTCAATAATTTGTATCATGAAAATAATCATTTTTTCCTCATTTGGAATTGCTAATATATAAAAAAATAATTGTTAAATGTGACTTTTATTAAAGATTTTACCAAATAATGTTAAAAGTTAATCATTTGCCATTATTTTAGACATAACAGAATATAATATTTACATTCTGTTATATTATATTATGACTTTATTTGAATAATTTGTATACAAAAAGCTATATATAGCTGTACTTATCGTCATTTTAAACTATACTTATCTTTTAAATAAAATTTTATCAAGAATCGTAAGTTATCAAGCTCAAGGTAGAGATTGCTTTCCGTTCCTTACAGATTCGGAACAAAAATGATATTTTTTTAACGAGTTCCGCAACGTGAAATCAAATAAAAACCGCATAAAAATTGGCAATTTTTCTCTGTAGAAGTATCAGAAATGTTTGCAATAAGGCTACAGTTAAATAGATATAAGCAAATTTTCCAAACAGGATAATAAATATAAAATATAAAAATGAGAGATAGCCCTTAACAATAGAAGTTTCATTTCTATATTCTTAATTTTATTTTAGTAATTAATAAAATAAAAACTCTTACTCATTTCTTTTAAAGGCAATTCAACTATCTAGTACAGCGGTTCCCAATCTTTTTGGACCTAAGATACTTAAACGATCGTAAGGTTACGGCATGCTATTAAATATTACGAAACTGGCAAACGAAGCTCTCCCTAATACCTTTTCTACACAATATCTGGTGTGGTAGCTGATGAATACGTAGATTTAGTATGTCTCTCTTTAATCCGAATTAGTAAAAACGGTAGACTTTCTCTCAGCTATTAGGTTAGGTACTCCTTTATTGCAAATCACAAATGCATTTCGGGCCTGTATGAGCCCCTCTTCAGTGTAAATGCTCATAAGACAGAGTAACGCTTTTCTAATTGTATGACACTCACAATGATATTTTATATAATCCAAAAAAAAACATGAATGTGTATTGAATGACACTATTACACAGGTACAATTAAAAACCTGTAAGGTATTTAAAACCGTATCGTGTACTTTAAGATGTTATCAGAATACATCATGTTTCCATTACAGTTTATCATATTTGTTAATGTTATTGTTGTAACATATGATTTTTCTGACTTATGATGTTAGGTATCTCTCCTTTTAAAAAACCTCTGTCATATTTTTTTACAACCAATAATGGCCTTTTTCTTTATTTTTTTATATTTATCCAGTCTTACAATTCTCACCGTCATATGGCACTCTTAATACACTCTTTTTGACACTCTTTTTATTAAGGTATTAAGAGTCTCGTATGAAGGTGCAAAGGAAAACCACACACAAGCGAGAAGCGAGAAATTTCATTGGCGAGAACGAATTTCTAGTTCTCTCACATAACTGACAGGGTTTGATATTTATCACGTCTCGCCTCTTCTCGCCACATATTCTCACTCGCTCGCATCTGCATAGTCGCACCCTTAGAATGGCACCACGACCCGCCGGTGGGGAGCTGTCAATCTAGTGAATATTTCATATTAAACAAGAAAATGATACTCAACAAATTTACCACTCATCACTCAATTTCACTCATTCACAACAGCATGACCATAAGGAAGACATCAATATAGTGGTCGAATGCAAGCCCGCCACAGTATTACATGAAGCAACTGCCGTAGCCGGAAACGAAGTAAAGTTTTCCCAAAAAAAAAAAAAGAAAAACCTTTTTTTATATACGCAATCATCACGACTTCCGTATTAGTCACAAGAATCTCAAGTGGCGGTGTGTGGTAAAAAAAACTGAAGTTACCGCACTTATAAACAGACACAGAATGCCGCACGGCTCGAGCATCACCCACATGCGAAACACGAAACTGGAATGACACATCCATTCACAAGCCTTCTAAGAAGTAGAATTTCATAATATGACATTCACTGAGCATTTTCCTAAGGACAAAGGAAGCTTTACTCTCAAAATATCATGAAATGAAGCTAATTAGTTTTGTCTGTGAAATTTAAATGGACTCCCAATACTTTGCAATGGATCACAGTGCTTACCCACATGTAATAATGCATAAATGATAAGTTTTGGTTCGTTAGAGTGTATAATGTGATAAATGATTAATAAAATAGATTTTATAACACTTAAAATCATAAATATACATCTTGTTTACAGATTATAAAAGTGCTTACCTTATCAACAGCTAGGGATTTCCCTATGATAGCAACACATGTCTAATAATATCAAACGAGTTATTAACAATAATTAGTAAACATGTGACGTTCTAACTGAATCCATTTCGTAGATAATATTGTTGATTCATCATTCGGCACTCTTCCAACTTCTCCTTCGCCACTAACCAGTTGACTGGATAATGGTCGTCTGGCTTTACTGAAAATTCGTTAGATCTGTCGATTGTCGTCTGCCTTCCGGGAAAATTCGGTAGACGATCGTCTGCTGTTTCGTATAATTCGTTAAATCTGGGGAATTTTAATTTATTAATTAAAGAGTTTTACCTTATTTTAACTGTAAATTAATTTATAAATTATAAATTTAAATATTTTATTTAGGTTTTTTTATTTTAATAAAAATAATTGTTTTGGAAAGTAACCGGCTTCGGGATCAAAATTTTTGAAAATTTTAAAATTAATTATAAAACTTTTGATGTAGTTATTATATTATTATTCTATATCCTGGTCTTTAAATAAAAAATGTGATGTATAATTACATGTTTTTCCTAAGTTTTTTTTTTTAAAGACTAAACGTATGAGATAATTTTGGAGCGTGCGAAAAGTCTGTTCGATATTGCTCCAGTGCACACAGTTCAAAATGAGAGTATATCGAACGTTATCGAGCAGCTTTTCTGAACGTTCATAAATTACCTTATTCCTTTACTCATTTATGATAATCAAGAAAAAGTTGAAATTATATGTCAAATTTTTTTATTAAAAATAATTAAATTTTCGAATCTTATTCTATAAGCGACTTTTACTAATCACGACATTTTTAATTTAAAAATTTTTAAAACTTCTGTAAGTGCACTTCCACTTCTGGAAGGGCGGAAGAACACTGAAAGAATTTTTTCAGGCCCATATTGTGTTCGGTCAGACTCACAACGGGACCAGCAGGTGACTTGACAAACTCGGAATAGGCCACCAGTGAATAATTCCTGAATTCGATCCCGAGTCCCTCAGCGAAATAAACGAACGCCTTAGATGCAGCGTTCGGAATTGTTTATATTTAGAAAAAGAAAGATTTTTTTTAATATTTCCCCAAATGAGATTTTCGGTATTCTGCTAGAGAAAATTCGATTATTTTTTTATTGTTCCACGTCCTTTCTTCATGCTGGTTAACCCCATTTCGGGTCAAGCTCTCCTGTAATGAAGGCAAATGTAACCGGTTGTAAAACTTGTAATGTGCTGGTATCTCGCATTAACTATTCAATTAATTAGCGTATTTCATTGTAACAAAAAGTGCAGAAAATTTTCGTTTAAATCTCGAATACTAGCACCATTCATTACAAATTTTATTGTTTGAATTAGGTCAAAAATGGCGGCCCATTACATCTTTCTATCAAAGAGCGATAAGATAAATTATAAATTTCAAATATGATACTCTGTGGACATAAAAGGCCTTTCTCTTAATTTTACACGTTCATTCAGGCCCCAGATAGGGATAGCCTGATGATAAGAGAGGGACTTTACAAATCTAGATCAAAATTTCTGAACCGATCACACCTAGCATCCTGATTTTTCAGAATTTATCCCAATGTAATCTCTGAGATGGCCGGATGGCCGAGCGGTTAAGTTGACAACCTACAGTTTCGGGGATTCCGGATCGAATCAGGACGGGTCAAAAAATCTAGGAATTTTTCGAGTAGTGGTTCCATCCGAATATGTCGGCTTCCGCTCTTCACTATCATGCCGACCAAGTGTGAATCTTTCCGAATATATAATAGGCTTGCTAACAAAGGACATTTATATTTATCATTAAATTTTATTCCGCGGATGTGCTCCATGAATCTTGTTTAGAGTTCCCGCTTGGTTTTACCTATATAAATTTGTGGTACTGTACATTGCAGCTGCACTCTAACTTATAAACAATATTGCTTTTGTTCCATATTCCATTTTAAAACCCTTTTCCCCTATGAACACTATGAACGCATTTTTTTTTTTTTTTTGCTAGCCCATTATAAGTTTGACAAGTCCCACAGTGGGGGCTGGGTGATGGGAAACGGGTCCCGACAAATCTGAACGGGTCACCCTCATAAATTCTTAGGGTTTGCTGATCCGCCAGGATCCTATTCCGGAGTCCCATATAAGCTCTCGACGGCACTCTCAAAAGCCACTCATTCTCATATTTCTTGAGGCTTCAGTTTATAAAAAATCGTAGAGTAGTTAATTTTTTAAATATTACAATTTGACAAAAATAAAGGTATTTTTAGTATTCAAAGATTTAATAAATTAGTAATTTGTAACAAATGTTTTTGGGGCCTTTGAAAACATGAAGATTTGTGCCGGAGACTGGCCGAACTTACGATGAGTATGATAAAAAGGCTTTTCAGTGTCACAGAGCGGAATGAGATAAAAATGAAAAAAAGTGTGAACAACAGCTAAATGGCCTGATTTCCTCTCTGTAAAAGCAGGCAAGTGTTTAAGTCTTACAAGCGTTATTGTCGGTGCACACAATAAAACGAATAGCAATAAGTGGTTTTATATGCGAGATTTTTACTAATCATTTTATAGCTCTTTTTCTATAACTTTTGTCGCCGTGTGGGCCTCTTTTAGTAAACCCATTATAGATTTGGCCAGGCCCACAATTAGACGGCAGAGTGGTGAGGAATAGGGCCCGACATAGTTAGATGAACCGCCCCAATATATTCTTGGTTTTTCGACCTGCATATAGAGAAACGAACGATATCAATAGTAAGATAGAGAGCAGCTACCTTTATAATACTGTACTGTATATGCAATCTGAACGCATAACAATAGACGTTTTATAAATATAAAAAGATAAATATATCGTTGTATCCTCTTCATTTTACTTTTGTACAGATTGAGATGACGTCACACGAAAAAGCTTTTTCTTAGGAGAAACTGAAGCATCTCTGATAAAAGATGAATCATTAAGCTTATCGACAGGAAAAAGGTTTCGAATATTTTGAAAATGTCATCTGATTCATTTCCTGATCATCTCTAACGTGATTAACTTATTGAATTGAGTGAGGAAACAATTCTCTGGATTTAAGAACACGTTCAAAGAACTGGAAGGAAGCGTATTGCAGAATAGGAAACATTCTTAGATAACACAACAGAAACTATAAAAGGCATGACACTATAAATTTGTAATGTAGGTTTTTGTACAATTTCACTTTCTAACTGAACATTTGTACGTTATCATGATCCTATAATCGTCATGAATCCTATAATGGATGCTGCTATGCAACAAAACCGGACATATCCAGAACAGGTTTGGTTCGGTTTGATGGAATAAAGAAATGCAATACAAGGAGATCTGCCTAGGATATCATCCAGAAAGAACTTCATATTGTAAACTTGTTGCTATTTAGGTTTTATACACGCGAAGAAAACCTGGAAAATCCCACGCGACCAGTCCCTGGAATTTCCCAAGCCAGCTCATTGGTGAGCCATATCCGCCAGGCTTACTGTGGGGCAATCTGGTGAGGGAAGGAACTCGATATACCTGGACGAACCATTTCCGAAAAATTTCAGGAGTTTTTCGACCTGTCCGGATTCGTTCTTTGGTATCTCAGAGCACTCGGCCCACCAGTAGCCGGTTACCGATCACCTTAACGGCAGACGGCCGGATAGTCGAGAATTTAAGGCGCAATCTTATAGCTCTGAGGTCCTGGGTTCGAATTCATTTGGTCAAAAATCTCGAATAAGTTTTCATGGACAATCCGTTCCAAATGTTTCAGGCCCCGTCCCTTACTATCAGTTTATAGATGGCCGAGTGGCAGACTACCAATCTGGAGGCCCGGGAACAAATCCGGACGAGCCGAAAACCTCAGGAATTTTTCGAGGGTAAACCATTCGGATATATCCGACACCGTCCCTCACCGCCAGGCCTGGCCGAATTCCCGATGGAATTGATTAAAAGGATCTGTTGGTGCTGCTCATAGAGTGAAGTAAATAAATAAATAAATATAACACGTCTATTCTAATTCAAAAGTTTAAGGTAATAGAAATGTCCCTAAAAATTATAAAAGTAAATTTTAAGTATTATTATTATTATTATTTAATTTGTTATACAAATAAATAAATAAAAATTTTATTTCTCAGTTGATAAAAATTTCTCAGGTGGCGCTGACGAATCGAAAAACGTGTGTTATGTGATGCTCGTTATGGTAAGATGCGAAATTGAAACTTTACGCGATAAAAATGTCTAATTTTATATATATAATATATATAGTTTTATATTTTAGTTTAAATACATCCGAAATGATTTCTCCACCGAGTAAAGAACGTCCTATCTGGCTGTCCATCATCGTTTTAATGTTTCACAAACGAATCATGGTGAAAGTCATGAGATTGGGTTTGTCATTATGCATGATGACTAAATTCGAACGTTTGGGTCTTATATGCTTATTGCTTTCTGCTATTTTCTAAATACTTAATTAAAATGTGAGTGTTTGTACTTTAAACAAGAGCATCACCGCCCTAACTTGGCCATAATGATATTCAAGGATTAATTTTATTCCCTTCTACAACATCAAGCATCCTGGAATGGGTTTTAAATGTATTTTTGTACCAAAAAAAGAGTCTTAATTACAGCTTTTATTTTATTTTAAAAGACATTCCTACTGTTTAACATATGATAATGTTTTAAAACAACTTAAAGCATTGAATGTAACATGGATTTTCTGTATAATTATACCAGATATATTGCATTTTGACAGCTTCAATCACTCAAGGTTGACAAGACAGTTTATTTATATCTTTCAACAACTTGTTTTACCTGTTTTATATATTCTGAATGCTTTCTATGATTCATACATTGTTATTTAGGGGTTAAATTTGTGATTAAAGTCTACTATAACCGTTAAATATATATAATTTTTCTAAATTTTGTTATCAGGTATGAATGATTATACTTGTCATTTAACCTATACTACCTGATATATTTTAATGTACTATTACTCTTTGATTAAGAGTTCAGTCTGCTGATACCATTTATCAGATTAAAGTTCTATTCTTTCACATTACACTTAAAAAATTATTTATATATGGAGTGTATAACTTAAATGTATTATTTTGTAAATATAAACAAGATATACATGTTAATTGTCACTTAAATTTAATGTGTAAATTATTAATATCCTTATGATTAAATGTATAATTTGCTTGTTTAAGATGGACATAAATCTAGTTTTTATACTGATAAAAAATATGTTGAAATTCGTGTAAATATGCTGTATATTTAATAAACCTCAAATCATTATCACTTGTTTATATTCATTATTGCTTGATAACTACAACATGTATACACACATTGACGTTTATATATCCGGTCGAAGGGTTTAATCTGTATTAAAATAATAAAATATGTTTATAAATGCTTAAACTTATGCAACGTGTTACCTAAATACTGATTTTTTTTAAGGAAAGAAAAAAAATATTTATGTAAAAAACAAGTGGAAAAATCGTTTAGAAATTTTCGTTGTTAATTTTAGAAAATTAGAAATAATATTTAAATAAAATTAAGTTATTAAATTAAATTTAGTCACAAAATACAATTAAAAAATGGCCGATTGATTGTCAACGCTTACAGTATATTGTCCCGTGGTGCCATCTATCGATAATTTTTGTAATTAGCTAGAAACTTTAATGGTGCCGTGCTTTAAATAAAATATGATCGTCGTTTATTTATATTATGTAGTCCGCTTGTATCTCCGTGACGTTCTCTCCTACGTCATTAATTTCTTCCACCCAGCTCCCAAATTTCTGTCTTGTTCGAGAGTAGAGACAATATTGTCTCCGACCTCGTATTTTCTGTTTAAATTAATTTGATTTATTGTAATTGTTCCTTAATTTTGCTCATAGAACACCGTAAACACCAAATATTCCTTTAAATGTGAAAAAAAAATTGAGTTTAAGAACGTTCGGAAACTCGTAGAGTTAATGAACGCTCTACTTTCAGAACCATGAATAAATTATACGTGTACGGCGTTCATAAATTCTGCACCAGTGTAACTGGTTTAACGCGTGTAGAATTCTCGAACAACAACGATTTCAATCGCGAGCGACCTCACGCAAAATCGCAATTTTTTTTTTCTTTTCATTTTAGGAGAAAATCTAAGCCAAGGCGTGTTTACGATTGCGATTGTTATATAAAACAATCGCTTTCTTTACTACTATTCTGCTGACAATTTGCAATTGTTTTACCGTGCCGTAAACTATCGAATCACAAAATTACTTACGTTCGAAACGTTCAAAAAACGAGCCTCAAAAAATCAATCGCGATTAGTTACATGTTACTTAATTTCTCGCTTGCGATTGCGCTACAGTTTTCTCGCTTTAGCCTCATCGCAAACGGTAAGATTAAGGATTTTCTTTTTTTTTGTGTCTTTCTCCGTTACGTAAACATACGAAACAATTAAAAAAAAACAACTCACCTGTGCTGAAACTTAAATTCGCAAATCGTAAGCGTTAAATCGCACAAATCTCGTCTAAAAGTACATCTCTCGCCGGCGCAGCGATAGCGATTGAATTACTGAAAAATTTTATTAAAAATTTCCAAGAGTCGGACGGAAAATTTCGAATTAATTAATTGCGAACAAATTAGCGATTCGTAAACGTTGTCGCGACTGTAATAATCCGGACAATTTTCTGTGTTAGCGATTACAGTGGCGACGATAGTTTTCCGCCTCGTGTACGTGTAAATTTCATGCCATTAAGCTGCGAGTCGCTATGTGAGACAATTAAATAGCTAAATCGCTACCGTGTTATCGAGCGATTTAGCTAATTTACTATTGTACTTTAGAGGTTGCACGTCTGATCCCACTGTCCGTAAATTCTACTAGCGATAACTTTAAGCAATCAAACTTTGCAAATTATGCAAACAACATTAACGTCGATCGTAAAAAATTCTGTGATTCTTTCCAACTTTTCTAATCCTTTAATCGCGTTATCTCGACATACTTTTATTATTATTATTTTAAATTGTTTGTTTGTTTGTCTGGCCGAACCCAATTAGAATTATATAAATATAAGGATTAAAAGAGGAAAAAAATAAGGAGATTTACTTTTTCTTAAACGGGCAATTTCTTCTCTATGAGAAATTGTACTGGATCCTAACTGGTGCTGAAGTAATGCAATAACTTTTTCTAGTGTTATCTTTCTTCCTGGTATTCTTTTCTGTTCATCTCGCAATTGATTTTTGTGTTTATTTCGCTGTTTTTTTTTCTTCTTTTCTTGTGAGTTTGTGCATCAGATTTTTACATTTTTGAAGAGAAATGCAAGAAATTTGTGCGTTTTTTATCTGTTCGTGTTTGGTGGGGGTTTGTACACTTTCGAGCTTAATAACACCCGTGCCTTTTGTCGAATATGTCTGAAATTTTGCAGGGAGGTTTGCATATTAGGTGGATTGATGCTATTAAATTTCGGCAGTTAAAGGTCGAGAGAGTGGGGAGATAGAGGGGTATCTGCCATATCTCTAGTGAGTCGGACTTAAGATTTTACTCATTTCCATCTGCAAAATTTACCACTTTATAATTATTAATAATATAAAAAGCTTTTTTTGTTTAAAATAAAATCTCAAAACAGATGGCGCCACGCACAATTTTATAGTTTGACTGGGAAAGTTATGCAACTGGTTGCCGGATTTTTCTCTATCTGTGTTCAAATGTGTAATCGCAATCTTTGTATTTGGCATTCTTCTACACTTTCGCTATTTTTTTTTTGACAGTTTCTCGCCTCGCAGCGTCTCTTTTCCCCTCTCCATTTCTTCCACGTCGCCTTCTATCAAAACAGGAATTTGTAAATTAGCAAAACGTTCCAGTTTCGAACACTGACATTTCCAACACTTCACGTGAGCTCGAGTATTATTACATTAACGTCACCTTAACGTAAGAGATAACTTTTTATCGCCCAAATTATGTTTAACATCGGCTTAATGAGAAGTTTTACGAGTTTTAATAGTTGAAGATGACATTAACAATAAGGTAAACGTGGGCATTTTATATTAAACAGCTGCAACACCGTCGTAAAACTACCGAAAAGTCGGATGGAGCGTAAAATTTTACTGCTTTACCGATTAGATACGTTGTTTGTTTCCGTAATAACTACCCAAAATCGTGGTTGCAATTGACGATCGAAACCGTCAATTTTTACACTAATAATCGACTAAATTCATTAATTTAATTTAAACTTCCGAAGCTCGTTATACCTATTCTACGGATCGATCAATATCTATCGATCAGGGGATGATTAATAACGATACACACGTACACAATATAAACTTAAGAGTAAAAATGTGTAATATAATTCGACAATTATAAGCGTGTAGTATATGTAAATCGAAGGAAAATCGATTATGTTGTATGCCCGTTCCGGTATTGAACACTTAAAATTGGATGTTTTTTTTTTTTTGTTTTTGCTTTGTTTCTTCCCGGTATGGTTGTTCGTGATAAAATATTTAAAGTTGAAATGCAAGAATAAATTTCATTGCCGGATAAGTTTAAAAATAACCATTCTTTTAACAGATGTAAACGTCTTAAAAATGAAACTGTGCGTTTTTCTCCAGTTTAATTAAGATAAACACGCGATCCATTTTTACGAGTACGCGTGAGATCAGACCTTGATGCACCATCTGTAACTATAAAACTGTTTTATTCCAACGTACACTATACATTGGCATCCATACAAACTATCCAAATCAATTTTTTTTTTTTTTCGATTCTTTCGAATTTGTTTCGTTATTTTTCAACATTTAACACGGTATATAACGATAATTTTATATACATTCTCTCTCTCTGGTAGGACAAAATATTGGAAAAGGTCGCTATTCGTTAGCGATTCCACAAAATACATCTTCATCAAACGATAAAGTGTCGTATTTTTTTATTATTTTTTTTAATTTTTATAAACATTCCTTGATATGGTTTCCATCCGTTTTTTTTTTATATTTCATGATATACAATTTACTTATTTACTCTTCAAGACATCATTTTTCTCTCTTATAAAATTATACCTGCGTGTACCAATAGCAGATGCACATACACTTACTTGTATTTTGTACTCGTGGGATATGACAGAGTAAGAGATGATAAACTGGAAATTTTCTTGTGTTGTTTGTGTGTGTGTGTATGTGTGAGTTCGTATATGTGTGTAGTGTTTGTGTGATAACTAAGTAAAGCATGTGCATTCTATTGTGTTAGAGTGTGTGCGAAAAACACTAATAAATATATGTAAAAAAAAAAGAGAAAAAAATACCTGAAGTCACGATTATGACACGTGGCAGTTGTTAATTATAGTGTTAACCGCCATTGTTATTGCCGTGTTCTCCTCATTACTCCACTTCTAGTATTCCTTCTTGTGTTTAAAGGACGATGGATAAGATAGGGTAATTTGGGAAGATATATTTGCTTTTAGTATCGCAGATTTTTGCGTTTATCTACCCCTCATGATGTGCAAACGCGATACACTATTAACAGAGATCTGCGTTCTCCGAGGCAGATTAACTCAACAGACGAATCGACGAAGGATTCGCTATCCTCTTCATTCTTGATGCAAATAGTTTAAAACGTAATGCAGTACTAAATCGTAGCAATACTTGTATTCAGTCTGAAAAAAAAGGTTAGAAATAGGATTATGGAAGGGATATTCCCAGTTTTTTTTTGTAAATATTTGTAGGCGTCTAACCATATTCTCCACCAGCTGAGGACGATGACGTCTTACTGTTCTGACTGCTCCGAATACGTCTACTTCGTTGTGTTCTATCACCTGTTCGATAGCGAAACTAGCCGCGCAGTAAACACCGCATCTTGTTTTACCGTTTCTAAAATAAAAAAACGAAAAATTATATGACGATTCCGTGACGTAAAATAATCATCTTTTATGAAAACTTACGTGGACACCACCACTACGGGGCCATAACTCGTTCTCTGTCTCCATCTCTCCACCATATTCATCACCTCAACTATAGCATTGGTCGACGTAGGGACTTTATGACCGGGTGGCCAACATGTGATTTGAAACAACTGTGTCGTTTTTGTATCCCCTTTCACTCCGGCCATCAATTCCGTTAAAGAAACGACCTGGAAATACATAAAATTGTACATAAAAACTGAAGATTGTAAGAGAAGAATCTGTTTCTTATACAGTTTTAAATCAGACCAATGGAAAACAGTGTTTTATATTATAAAAGGAAATGGGCATCATTCTGCGTTGGATAGTAAAGTGGGCATTAGATTTTTTTTTAGACCTCACGAAGCAGTCAAATTTGTTATGTGAATCCGAGAGCACTTGGATTTAAGTTTAGTTGCTAAAGATGGGCGAGGAGGGGAAACATTTTTATCAAACTGATGGAAAATAAATGGAGTAAAATCGTGTAAACGTTGTTGAAAAACTTTCAAATTTACTTTATAGTCTCCGAATTTTTTATTTACACTTTTTAGAGAATAAAGGCAATTTGAATTTTTCACGAATACTAAAATTGTGCTCGAGAAAACAGGAGAAAATGTTTACGGCACATGCAAACGTTAGAGTTAAAAAAGATGGATGAAACCATTTTCGAGTTCGTTAATTTGAAATTTTACATATTCGCATTTGTAAAATAACATGTTTTAAAATAATACAGCCAAACTCCCTTATTACGTTAACGATTTACGCGAAGTCGCGTTAATACGAAGTAAATTTGCCGTCCGTAGACGAGGAAGGATAGGCATTTCAATGTTAATTTCGTTAATACAGAAGTGCCAGTTATCAAGTCCTTTCGGCTTTGCATCAACGGGGTTCGACTGTGAATAAATTTACTTACCTTTTTAGTAACTCGATATATCCAAGATTTAATATTCGAATAGTGATTAAACGATACGACGTCAATAGTGAAGACTGGACCAAATTTCTTCCTCTTTTCTCTCTCCCCTGGCCAAAACATTGGATAGTTCTGGTAAAGGAATATTGATACTGATAAGTAAAGATCAGTTTATCGATTATAAATAAACAGAAAGAAATTTATTCAGCTTACGTTAGACGGAGGAGGATTTGCTAGTAGTACGATGCAGCTACAATCATGGTCGTACACAAGAGACCAGAAATCGGGTACGGTCCTCAATGCGGGCCATTCGGTAACAATAAATTCTCTAGCCCTCAAATAACCCTTTAAAATAGTATAGAAGGTAAATATTAGTCTTTCGTCTTTAAAAGTGTTCAATAAAAGCAGATTACACTCATAAAGTGGGGGATCAACTGCCGAGTTATTTAATATCGATCTCGAGACGAAAAATATTTCTTTTTGATGTTATGCGCATTTGCGTGACGCGAAGTTCGTGAAGCGATGATATCAAAATCGTAGTGAAGTGTATCAAATCAAATTTTTTATACTCGAGTAACAACGATGTAGATAAGAAAAAGGAAGGAAAAAAAAATGGAAATTTAGCTAGCAAAGTAGTTCACGTGTACGGAAGAAGATATTTAATACCCCTTCGAATAGAGATCGTTCGAAAAATGACCACTCCAAGATTTTACATATTTAAACTCCGAGGACTTTGAAACGTCGAGAAATGCAAAAATAATTGGGGCTTTTTCCCTGTTTGTATGGATGCTAGTGTGCGATGGGAACACGATTTTGTTCGCCCACTTCGAAGCTTAATAACTTCCGTGCCTTTTGTCGAAAATTTCTGAAATTTTGCGAGGAGGTTTGCATATTAGGGAGTTTGATGCTATTAAATTTTGGTGATTAAAGGTCGAGGCGGTTAGAAGATAGAGAAGGTCGTGTGTCGTATCTCGAGTGGACATTTTTAACATTTGCAATGTTTTTTTTTTTTTTTTTTAAACTCACGTCTACTCTTAAAATTAATCCTTTTGTCTAATAATTAATAATGTAAAAGTGTTTTTAATAAAACCTCACAATAGATGGAGCCGCACACAATTTTAACTTTTTTGCCAGGAAATTTGTTGGATTTTTTGAAGTGAAAATTGATAATATAAGGCTTGTAGAATATGAAAGTTTGAAAATATTTACCGCTTCTTCTGATGTTAGGTTCATAAAAGCAAAGTCCTACTATGTCAACAAGTCAGTGAAACTCTTAACGAATATCAAACAGCGGGTTCTATTCTCGACTTACTGATAGAAAGACGTAAACTTGAGTTATATAAAAGAGTAGAATATGAATGCGTGAGGATGTGGAAGTGTTTAAATGCACGATTTATTCAAGAAAATATATCACACGCGTTATTAAAGTGAAAGAAATAGCGAGCCTCATCCCGGAGGGTAAAAATAAATTTAGATCTTCAAAACATAAATTTACTTAGTAGAAGAGGATAATGTAAATGAGTAGCTCTTAGGATATTTTTTTTTTTGCGATATGTTAGTAATGAACAGAGCTTACAGTAGCGATAAAGTTTATTGTAAGTGGAAAATAAATAGGTTAGTGTGCAATTACAAGTAGGGATTCCGTAAAATCTTTTCGAGAGAATCGTAAAATGTCTAATAAAAGTTTATAGATAACTTACATCAACAAAGACTGCGTTGATATAATCGGTTGTTTCATTACTTTGGAATGTAGTCAAATAAGGTCGGAAATTGTCCGCTGCAAAATAAAATAAGAATAGGATAACGGCATTAAAAAAGAAAAGAGGGAAATTGAAAACAAATTTTAAGTCATATGTTAAATGCATTACTCCCCAACGATTTGTTGTATGATTTAACCAGTAATTTAATTTTACTTAATGTAATTATTTTAATAGAGTTGGCCTAAATGTCATGTCTTGATGCCCACTCGAATATTTTTCATTTAAACTAAGTACTTTTTAACGGAAAAAAAATTACTTTTCTGTGATAAACAATAACATAAAATCATTTTCTTTTTTTTCCTATATTAAATGGAGGAAAACTTTTTTATTTTTAGATAATAGAACGTAATTACTTTAATATTGAGTTGTTCGACGTTAAGTGAACATAAAAATAACAATTTTTTAACATTAAATGATAACACTTACGCGGTACCGTAGTTATATCTCGATTCTTATCTCTGTTCTCTATCCTGTGCCCTCCAGCACAATCTCCAATGGTAAATTTGGAGATTTTCTTAACGATTTTCTGGAAATCGGAAAAGAAAAGAAAAAATATTAATATGCCTTTAACCCATTACAGCTTATAAATAGCAACTATACTATTTTTTTTATTTTTATTTTTGACGAAAATAAAAGAAACATTACGTTATATTCTCTCTGATATTCGTTCTGTCTAGTTATTGGACTCTTTATAGATTTTTGCTTCATTCTCTGAGTTAATTCGCTCACAGGAAACCAGGTTATACCATATTCGTGAGCCTCCATCAAAACCTCATAAATGAATCTATAATGCTCCTACAAATAGTAACGAACAACGGTTTAAAAAAAATGGCGGCGTGTGTTTAGTTTGCTTATAACAACTGCGTGACGATACTTACGACGCTCTCTACCATTCCTTTTCGTGCTTGTCTCAACCTTTTAGTATAATTAAACACGTCGTACATACCATCTTCTTCTGCTAATTCCAAATTGGCATCGATACAGATGTATGTACCAGTTCTAGCGCATCCATCGCTGCAAACCCGGTTAAACTTTATAAGAGATTAACTATTACTCGAATTATAACTCATAGTTAACAAACCTTACTTGCAATGTACCACGACAGGTCCCATAGCGGTATGTTGGTTCATGTAAAGGCGAACAATCCTTCGAAATTCTAGAAGAGTAGTTGAAAAGGGGCATGTATGAGATGGCCAGTTAGTAAAGTGTAACTGGTGGATTTCCCTTTCTTCTTCCCCCTGTTTAATTAAAATATATAAAGTTAATTTTAAAAATATGAATGTAAAATAATTAAAATATTTGTCTTAACCTTTTTTAATCTGAATTTTCTAGTCCAGAAACTGGCTGCCATATCTTCTTTTATCAAATGAACCTCTACGTCTCCGTATGTTTCCGGATGTTCTGCATCCATGGGCCAATACTGTACACACATCACCTATAAGATAAATTTTAGAGGAGAAAAACGCTTTAAAAGTCTGTGAAGGATATAAATTAAGAATTTAATTCATAACATTCTAAGCATATTGCAAAAATTAACGAAGGACAAACGAACAGAAACAGTGGGAACTTATAGGGGCTTGTAATTTGAAAACTGCAACCCAATAAAGAACAAACTCTAGAAAAATCATATAAAGTGAACGCATAAAACCCATAAATACCATTTTCCATTACAATTTTATTACATTATATTGTTTATTAAACAAAAACTAACTGATGTTTGGCCCATAATTACATATAAATAAATGATCAGGATTATATTGAACAATAAAAAATTAATTACTAGAATGTATATAATTTATTTGATACAGAAAAGAAAAGAAAAGAAATGTTAAAATAAGTTATAAAATCCTGATCATAAAGTTATGATCAGCATTCTCTAATTTATAGAATCACGAACGTAACGTTTCTGTATCCTGGATAAATTTTGCAAAACTTCAAAACTAAAACAGGATTTTTAAAAAATTAATATTGCAAATTAAACAATTATTATGTAAGCTACAACAATTTTAAGAAACCGAATTCATTCGCACGCATCAAATTCTTCTATAAATATTTATCAAGAATCTGTTCGCATCAAAGGTAGGGGAGAACGGGTCATTTCCCCCACACGAATCAGGCCTTCTAACGAAGGTCGAAAGAGTTTTGGAAGTTAGAACCTTATAATTAATTCCGTAAGAAGTGTCGGAAATTTCTATTCTTTTCCTCATACATTAGTACGGCAAATTACACGATATAAGCTATTGTCACTCTTGCTTAAGGAATAATTATGATAGTGGGAGCGTAACCGTCTCCCTCCCCCACTTGGAAAAGTTGCAGCGGACACCCTTGGTTCGCATTCATTAATAAACTTACCTTAATAAAATCAAAAACTTTAGTTAACATGATGATAATGTAAGTATTCTTCTCCCAAACCATCCTCCAGAAATCAGCTGTCGTTTCATCACTTGGACCTGAGAAAATATCGCATTAAAATTAATAAGACGTAAGAGAAAATTTCATTTTCTTTTCTTTTATTAACAGAGTAAACACATTTACATCAGAAGAATGTATATATATATATATATATTTATATTTAAAAATTTCCTACTCTGTTGCCAAGTTAAAAATTAAACAGCAGCAACAACAACAGAAAAATGTAATTTATATTTTAATAACAATAAAATAAAAAGATGTATATAAATTCAAGCACACAGATACATTTATTTAAATTTTTTTTTTTTGTTTTTAAGAAAACGAAACACACAACAATTTTAAGAAAGAGAAAAAATACAACGAAAGATTTGTAAATATTCAATAAAAACAAAGAGAGGAATGAGATTAGAAAATAATATTTTCTATAAATAAATACAATGTATATATATATATATAATTTATTTATTTACCTTGTGTAGCGATATATGCGTTTGGTTTTAATATACCCTAAAAATAGACAATAATTTAATTAATTCAGCAAGAGATTTCACAAAAAAAAAGAAAAAAAAATCTGCATTTTTCCCCCTCTTATTAATGAATGTCCCATCGCTCTACTCACGTCTATGTACGATGCATTTATATAATCGGAATCAGGAACACCAGGTAAATTTTCCAGAACAACACGATTGTAATCATCTAAAATATTAATTAAAACATTAATTTAGTTACGATAATTACTTGTAATTACTGTTTCATTTTCTGATTATGTTATAAATTCAAACAGCGAAATGCGATATCGTCGAATTGTAATTAGTTTAAGAAGAGGAAGAGGGAGAATATTTACAATTGACTCAACGAAAATAACAAAAATTATCGTAAATTATTAATTTAAAAACAGCTTATTAGAATGATAATTTATGTTGCAGTGATAGGGTGGGAGGAATAAAATAACTTCAAGTTTCTAATCTTGCGTGCTAGTGAGAATTCCGTGTTATAAATGTTTTTTTTTAAGTGCTATTCGTTTAATCATTTCTAATCTATAATCATCATTCTGCCAGAATATTTTGTTGCGAGCTGTTTTAATAATTCATAGCCATAAATATTCTACTGGAAACTTCTGATACCAAAATTATATTATCAATCGATATCTGACATATTGCCGTTGATGGAATTTACTGTACTGTACATAAATGTAAGAACATTATTAGAAATTTTGTAGATGATCCGACGTCAATAATAATAATAATAATAATAATAAAGTGCCTTTGTTATTAACCAATTTATTTTTATCAGGATCAGGAAGAGCAAACGGGACACTTGTCCCTTTCTGGAATCGAGTAAAAAATTCCACAACTCAATAAAGTGTTGGGTCCAGGTGAATTTGAATTAGGAGGCCTCCCAAGTATAGTATTGACTTCAGGCATTTTTTCTTCGAGGAATGTTTCGGGAGAAATATTTTCCTATAAATGATTGATTTGGGCTCCCCTTCTGTTAGTGGAAGCCATAGTCAATTATCCTTTCTGCATATAGGATAACGGGCCACTGCCACAACTTATAACCTTACGGCTTCGACCATAAGACACGTGAAAACCCCCTAAAAATTTAATTTGCTTCCTCCCCCTGGTAAATTTTCTCCTGACGCTCAGGCTCAGGACTAAATTTAATAACAACAGTCATCATTTGTTTCTTTTATCATAACTTACACCCCATATTCAGCATTACTTACACGGTATGTAGAATAAGGCCTCGTATTTAGATTATAAATGAAACAAAGCCAAAACGAACAGAGAAACTAGCGAAAATTTCTCGAATACATGTATTATTTCCGTGCCAAATCCGTGTCACCAACACTTAAAGGAATAAAGTATGTCCCACGGCTTAAAAGAAGAAAAAAAAAATCAAATGAAAATCGTACTGTCGCCAATCTGCTCCATTTGTGTCATCACTAAACCGTACATAAGTCAATAACAAATACCTTCTAGCTTATCGCATTTATAATAATTCTTTATCAAATAATCCACGCACTATTTGATGTATACCACTAAATTCTCATCAATTAAAATGTATCAAATATCTTTACTTTTTATTGATACTGAAACGTTGTTTCATACACCAGACTTGTTTCATTCGTGTGATCCAATTACGATACATTCTAACTACTGAATGAGTCAATGACGATGCATCTCGCTAATTTGTTAGTAGAGGTTTCTTTAAAATCCTTTTTTCTTTTTCATCAACCGGATTCATTCTTTCGTGTACCGAATTTCGCTTGAATTACTTCACAGAAATCTCTTACAGACTTACTCTAAACGAGAATTTCTACTTAATATTCGTGATTTATTTACAGGTCGTAGCGTACTTAAAGCAATTTTTAACCATTTTCTCCGTGTTCAATAGCTAATTAGTAATAATTGTTGCCAACGAAATATTGATCTGAAGCGCTTAAATTCGTTTATTTTACGTCAGGAACGTGTCTAGAAGTAACATGTTATTATTTGTTTAAAATTAATCAACGTCTGAGCTATTTATTATTAGAATAATCGTAAAGATCTTCGTAAGTTTACGTGTGGATTTTTTTTATGAATCGATAGTTTCATTTTAACATTAAGTTTCTTATTCTCTTGTAATATTTTACTTTAAATCAAAGCATAATTAGTATTCAAATTAGTAATATATGAAATGCAAATATTATTCATTATATTCATTTCATTTACAAGCGTATGTAATTCCATATAGGCCCGTGAATATATTATTTAGAGTGAAAATTATAGATTTATTCAAAGAAGATATTTTTATAAATTAAAAATTAATTAGTAAATGATTAAGATTGGAGTTTCGTCCTGGTCGATATTTTCGAATGAAAAAAGTATAAGAAAATAAAGAATATTTTCCCAATTAATTAATGTTAGGAAAGGAGTTACATTTACTTTAATTAGTAAAAGACAGTAAAAAATATCAAGAGAAAAATGTTTAAAAACGACTAAAAGCATAACAAAATGCATGAAAAATGACTGCAACATAACAATTTATGTTATATTATAAGTCTATTCTATAGAGCATACGTTATTACGCTGTATAAAAACTAGAAACTATCAGTTCGGTAGAAGCTTTATTGATGATAAGTTCTTATGCTCTATAAAATATATGAACTTCGCTACACGATGGACAATAATACTGAAAGATAGGAGTAGAAATTCTTACATTTCAGTACATTTTCATATATTTTATGCCAATTCTTTAGACTAGCACACTTTTGTTATGCTCTATAAAACGAACTTACAACGTTAAACTATTGTGTAACCGTTGTGTAATTGCATGTAAGTGTTGCGTATGTTTACAGAATTTCGTTAAATGACTATAAAAATATAAAAATACTTACATGGTAGAAGTTTTTTATGTGAATTTTTAATTTCATTGGCTTCTTTACTAGCATGCCTGATGCTGTGAGATTCTCCTTTGGTTGCAACCTATCAAAATTTAATTAATGAAAACACGTTATGAATACATCATCATCACTGAAGAGAAGAAAAACAAAAAATAAATAAAAATTCGTTTTCTTGCAACAGGATATTAATAACCAGAAAAATGTAATAAAAACATCATTAATAATTCAAAACATAAATCTGTTTCGTAAGATAAATAATAATAATAATAATAATGCATTTCTCCTGAAATTATCTCTTCTCTGCAGAGCAGAGATGTATTGTAAAATGATACCTTTTTGAGGGGTGAGATAAATTACTCCCAATTTCTTTTTGTTTTAATTATAAATAAATGAACGTATTCTAAATTTTAAATTGTACTATTATACAATTTGAAATATTTCTCGCATTAGGATACTTGCCAATTTATAAAGTCCTTACATTGTTTTTCACGTATATAAATATAGATATTTAATATCAAATAACTCTAATTTAATTCACCCCTACATCGTTTAAATAAAAAGGATTTTTCTTAAAAGATCCTACGGCTCATACACGTCAGTGTTTATGACCCATTCTACCAAAATAAATTGTAGAGAATAACCTATAGTTTCTTTGCAGGCAATGTTAAAATACTCTAGTCTATCTATAGCACTTACTATTTACTTACAACATTATTTTCCATTGCAACAACAGACTCGCTCCTGACACAAATAAAGTTTCAATTTTTCTTACTACACTTATGTTTCATCTATGAACTTTAACGCAGGTACTACGGTACATTTTATAAAGTCGAAGTACTTCGTCTCGAATATGATATTTAATTTAATTTTAGAAGCGAAAAATAAATAAATAAAATGCTATTTCACTCCTCTCATCTGAAGAAAATTATGCATGAATTATGCAAATGAACGTATACCTAATTTTCCAGCTAAGTAAATGGGATTAGGAGTTTTATGCAGTACTTAAATGAGGAAGAATATTAAGCTTGACACTTTACATTTGGCATAAAATACACTAAATGTATGAAGAGAATTTTAAGACGTGTTTTTCGATAATATTGAATTTACAAGATTTCTTTCCGGTTTGTTTCTTGTTTTTTAAAGTAATAAAAAGAAAAAAAAGAGAGAAAGAAATTGCTTAAATCTTAGATTTATTGTCCTTTGTCCGGATGAAAATTTCGCAATTCGTCATGCCCGGAACTTAAGACATTATCTTAATTTTTTTAGTGAATTAAATTACGTTTTTAAACGCATTAAAATCATAATAAATATTGTTAAATTACCAATGGATAAATAAATAATTTAATACGTTAATTTTTTTAAAATATTTTTTCCTTACTCCCTGCAGCATTAAAGTTCAATTTCTAGTTACTTTATATTATTAAATAATCTAAAATAGCAAAAAATACAGGGGAAATTTTAATATTTAATGCTGAAAACTTTGTAAAAAATTTCAAAAAAAAAAAAAAAATNCGGTTCCGGACATTAATATAAGCGAATTTTATTCAACAAACTAAAAATTACTCTTTTTTTTCCAATAAGAAACATTCAGATTTTAATTATAATTTTTATTATTTACATACTATTATATAGATAAAAAAACACATCAGAAAAATAAAATAAACTTAACTAATGTGTGTTTTTAATATACAGTTTACACACACATATATATATATATATATATATATATATGTGTGTGTAAACTGTATATTAAAAACACACATTAGTTAAGTTTATTTTATTTTTCTGATGTGTTTTTTTATCTATATAATAGTATGTAAATAATAAAAATTATAATTAAAATCTGAATGTTTCTTATTGGAAAAAAAAGAGTAATTTTTAGTTTGTTGAATAAAATTCGCTTATATTAATGTCCGGAACCGTGAAACCCTTTCTAACGGACGAAATTTCGGTCGACTGACTTTCGGGCCACCCTGTACGCAGAGGACCGAAAGTTGGTTAACCGTCACAAAATATCTGTACAACTGGAAACACACAAAACAGTGTTAAGTGACTTTCGGGCTACCCTGTAAATACGTTTAAAAAAAGCAAATTAGAGCCTGATTTATACACTTAAACTTATTATTTTATGCCAAGAGAAGGGCCTTGAGGCAAATTTATTCTCGAAATATCAAATAATATATTGAAAGAAAGTTAGAAAGGTGAAGAAGAAGAACAAAAATCATCCATAGAATAAATCAAAGAAAACTAAAAACAAGATAAATAAAAAACATCAGATTTTTATCATGCATTAAACATTTGTAAATTCGGAAAATAGGTAAAGGATGCATATTATAATATTTATAAGATTGAGAAAATAAGGAAAAAAAAATTGAAGAAAAAAAAATTTACCCGTTTACTAATATATAAAAATATTTTCAAAGATAAGATACTGTCAATTGTGCTGATATATACTGTATAAGGTCGGCTCTAAAAATAAAATAAAAATACACTCCCAAACTTTTGACTTACTCCAGTGTAAGAAAATGCCTTCAGGCCCTTATATACTTTATAATAATACAAAGGAAAGCTATAAATCAATCCCTTACTACTTCAGAAACAAGATATAATTTACTTTAATATCAGTCTCTTTCATCGATTTAAACCATTCTATCATCATGAAACGCAACCGACAGTTAATTAATGATACTTAACGCAAGCACGGGGTGGTCCAAAAATTAGTCTACCTTGTTACCTCGTAAACCGAGTTTAGAACGTATTCGAGTAACATTACAGCTTCTGCATCGCCATTTTTAATGTATAATAAGTAGTTTAATATTTTCAATGGTTAACTGATATTTGGACCACCCTTGTATCATTTTATTGATCTAACTTCTAGAATAATAATTTACACGGTTTATAAGTTTATATATATATATATATATATTATGATCGTGTTCAACTAGATTTTGCGAGGTAGCAAATTCAGTTTATATTGAACTCGTCGTGTCCTGATTGCTTTTCGCCTCTGCAATTAAACTTTTGTATTTCGGTTTGTTTGACTAACGTTCCGTTTCAATAATTCAATATTCGATAACAAGGAGCTAAATCTATTGCAATTATAATTAACTGTGATTAAATTCTTCATATTTGAATTACTACTTTGTAAATAATTTTAAAGTTACTGAAATATTTTAATGCAAACTGAGTTTGGACAGAGCATATTTGCCATTTTTGTCGTGTTAATTATAAAGTATAGTCGTTTATAATAATAATGTAATGTTTAATAACGATTTAAATGTGTTTAATTGTGCTATACTCTTACAGAATATATCTGAAGTTGCTTGAAAATTATATTAAAAAAACATATAAATGATATATAAAACTCGATAAAAACTACAAAGAAATAATGAAAAATTTCAAATCTAAATGTATATATATACATATCGTACAATGCATCCATATCAAATCGAGCATGAATGTTCTTCGACAACTTAGTAAAATACTGTGAGAGGTTCCATCCCAACTATCCTTTAAAGCCACCCTTCTTAACTTAAGCCCGAGCAAGCGTTAATATAATGCAGTTTCATTATTGTAAATACTCAGGTCAATAAATGGCACATTTTAGTTACTAAGACCATTGTTTTTATCGCCTTCTCCCACTCACTTAAAGACTTAAAGTCTGAACGACACCAGACACATAGCTCTATTTCGACTCCTTAAAAAAATACTGTACAATAATACAATCGCCTAAAGTCTACCCTCTCAAAAGCCCGAGCATTGCAGCTAGTAGCTTTAAAAAATATTAAACTTAATAAGGATTAGAAACAACGGCAAATGCTAGTATAAACTGTACAGAATCTCTCAAAAAAGAAAAAATATATATAACATTAAAATATTGCGGAAAAACAGTAAAGATCTGGCTCCTTTTAAAAGTAATTTGTGTTTTTTTTACCATGCTTTTAGGCTCTTTTATCTCCTATTCTCTTCGACAATTTTTCACTCTATCAGATTAAAAAAAAACAAGCAAAGTACTGAGTTGAATGTCCACAGATCAACATACACTACAGTCAAAACAGTACATTTCCTTTTATATAATATATAAAGCGCTTTATACTTGAAAAAAATACCACATTAGAGATAATACAATAGAGATAACAAATAATACTATTAACATTAAAAATATAACCCCTAATTGCTTTTATAAATTTACAAACCAATTCAAACAACGTATAATTTAGTAGCACAACAATTGTTACAGAGTTGAATCAATTTAATTCCTACAGAATTTAATAAAGTGGCATCTAAATCTTACATAGTTACATGCAAATTAATCAGGACTTGATAATTTCAGTAGCCGTCAGCTCTTTTCAATAGGAAACAATATAATGAATTATCACCGTGTCGAGAAATGAATAAGAGAACTAATGGCTGTTTATAGAAGATTTTTATGCAAAAATATTTAATTTAAATCATCAATGTATGTAGTTACTATATTAAACATAAGCACGGATCAATAGAGACTTCTACTATACACTGATTTTTACACGTTAACGGTGTATAATTATTGTTGTATACGGTATTAGAGGGAGGTGTATTACAAACTGGAAGAAAACTTACAATGCTCCAGAAGGTATTTATCATAAAAAAAAAAAGAAAAACTGTTCGAAACAACCATAAAAACGAACTTTATTACATCCGAAAACTTGAGATTTCGACATAAATAACAGCAAAAGTTAAATAATCGAAATTATTTCTAACAAAGAAATTATATACAATAAAAACTACAGAATAATTTATACATTCTTGAATAAAAATCTGAATGTTTGTTTATACTTTTTTATGGTTATATGGTTCTCGTAAAAGACAAACTTTTGTATACATTTTCTCAAAAAAAAGAAGAAAAAAATTATGTCAATGGTTTTAAAAAAAGTAGTAGTAGTAAAAATCTGATTTTGCAATAGAATTTGCTGATATTTTTTTTTTTTTGTGCATCGAATATGGTGTAATAAAACTCGTATAACTAGTAAAATTGCGGTTTGAACACGACGTTAAACTTAGAGAATTCCTTACGTGTGATAGTGTACTGAGTAGTTTGATTTT